CGTCGAAGTCGTGGACAAGGTCCTCCATCGACTTGAAGCTGCAGATCTCCCCAGAGAAACTGTTGTCCAGATCCGAGAAATCGTCTAGGCCCGACGAATCGCCCACATTTGAGTTCAGCTTGTCTAGTGGGTCGACCGCGTCCGAGGACGGCTTGAATTCGTTAAAGTCCTGCCAGTCCTCATCAAAGTGGGCTAACGGCGCCGCCATGACTGCCGTGGATTCTCGGTTCAGTTAGAACCGTCGATGTTCTCTCTGCTTTCGGCTTTGACTCTCGACCAGACTGCGAGAAGGAGACACAGAGGAGAAGCGGAGTGGGCGGACCGAGCCGCGTGATGTCAGCGGCGACGTCCCTCCCCTTTTCCATGGAGCAAAACAAACACGGCAGGTGTCGTGCCAAAAAGTGATCCATGTGTCGAAAAATTAGGTTTACAGTGTTTCTATGTTGTTTTCTTGAGTTATATCTTGTTTGTATGTACTGTTACCCTGTTGTTTTAAATACCATCTGCTTTTAGGCTGAGAACTACCACATAAGTTCGTTCTGTGACTGCATGGCAATAAAGAATCTTTGTATCTACAAAAACTGATTGCAGCTTTTACCTTGTGACAGGAATGATCTCATGAGAGTATGTTTGACAGATTACTGGACAAGAAGTCATTTATAACAGATCACTTTTTGGCAGGTGATCACTGGAGTCTTTACTATGGCCAGTACTCCGACGACATAATCATCAAATCATTTTAGCAACCCCGATAATCTTTCATCCATCTGCACAAAACATATCATATATATCATCATATATATATATATATCTTGTTAAAACCCAATGTATTTATGTATTTTTTTTAAAAAATCTGAGTAAATGACATGTAAACAAGTAAATGTCATGTCAATGACTACTTTCTCGCCTGTTATTGTGGGACAAATGCCATTTGTAGTCCGAAATTAACCAGCAGGGGGCAAAAAGGTCCAAAGGATCCAGTTTTTTTAAGCTCCTAACTGTAAATATTCAGGTATTATATATAGAAGCCTTTTTCCGCCTCTGAAAAAAAGAAAAGAATAAAACAAATGCAGTTTGAAAGTCAATATTTTGGGTTTGCTTTTGTATCTCGAAATTTGGACATTCTGACATAGGTAACTCAAAATTGAGAGACAATAATGTGGCATTTCAACTTAGCTCTGCATGGCAATTGTATTTATGTATCTATTTTTATTTATTTATTTGTTTTTTTACTTTTTGCTAAGGTGAAAACAAGCTTCCGTAATTATGAAAGTATTGCATGGCTCAATATAGACCCGATATTTCAAATTCCAATTCAAAGGTGCTTTATTAGCATGAAAGTCTCTAACACAATATTGCCAAAAAAATCAAAGTACAATTTAACAAAATTATCACAATTTATTTAATGAAAAATGTATTTAAGGAGATGTCCCTCTTTTCATAACCGGTGTTTATTGTCAGTCATTGTGACCTGTTTCTTTTTTTTTCTTTTTTGAATTTCAGCAGCTATGCCAATAGTTTTCATATTGCTTTTAGTTTAAAATAATAATTTCACTTGGACTTGCACTTAAATGTTGAGCACTGTGGGCTCACATAAAATATTGTAGTTTGAGCCCACTCCACGTGTACTTATTACTACTCAAAATAGCCATCTTTGTATTGAAATGGCCAACAACACCTAACTTAAATTATTCTAATTATTCTACTGTCTCCTCATGTTGATATCAAAGGTAGCCTCCTCCCAGAAGGTCTGACTCCAAACATTCTTTCATGACCTTTCAGATATCACTAAAGACAAATAAAATACAACCCTGTTTCCAAAAAGTTAGAATGCTTTGTAAACTATAGCCATAGAAAAAGTAACGGTTGAGTTGATTGGTACAGAATTGAAATTATTGACCTGATAGTACAAAGAAAATGAAGAAACACAAGTATTGCCTTTTTTAATGCATGCTCACTTTGAATTTGATAACAGTGAAATAAATCCGCTTACGACTCGTCACACTAGAGGTCAGTAATGTCATGGAGTCTCGGTATGAGGGTGTAAAAAGAGGAGAGGCTGCTTCAATGCACATAGGATGGGACCTTGGCGAAGGCACCACAAATACTTAATGATATGCACAGGTATTGGGAGCAACGCACCATGATTATTTCAGCAGGACTATGTTAAACCACACATTGACACAGAACTATTTAGCAATTGAAATGAAGCAAGTATGGAGAAGCTCTGTTTTCATTATACACAACAAATTTTAAAAGAGTGAAGGCATCCCTGTCTCAGCATGATTCAAATTCAGAATGAGTACATGTATAATTTTGAAGTCACATTTCTATTATTCATTTATTTTGAAATTTAAATTATTTTCATTCCTTGTGTTCCATTTATTCTAGTATTTTATTTACAGTGTGCCAACTCTCTTGGAAACAGAAACCTTCACAAATGCTTTGCCACATTGGTGACTTCGGGGTCGAGTTGTGCCGAGCTGTTTAAGGATGGGAGAGTAGCAGAGTGGATTTCTAAGCATCTCACAGGTTCCTAAGTTTCCTGCCCCACCAAACGGCGATGGACCATTCTTATTGTTGTTGTTTTTTTTTTCAAAACCCTGAATGCTTTATTGAAAATATGCATACATAACACTTTCCCTACACAACAATACAAAACAGTACAATCACTTTTGTAAATAACACATTGAACGTAAATCCACACATTTCCCCTTCCCGCCCAAACCCAAGGAACTTAGAGATGCTACTGTAAGCCCTTAGTATCCCCCACCCACCACCTCTACCTCTGAGAAATAAGACAGTTAAATCAGAAACAAGTCCCTTGGTAAACCCAAGACAAAAGAACAGAGCAGACACCAGGTTGCATACAGACATAGCATTTGCCACCAGCAGGTGAACGATGGGTTTTACTGGAACTCTTATTCGGGGTCTTGGTGTGTACCGTTTGTCTCAAGTCTTCTGAAATGATGCAGGGCGTGGAAGGAGTCCATTCTATGGTCTAGGAGTCAAGATAGAGGTTTTCAATGTGTGAATATCAGATCAACACATACACAAGTGCCTCAAGTAAATTTGGCTTTGATGTGGGGTCAGAGAAGTAGCCACTGCCAATCTACAACGGCACGCCGAGAGGGATGATCGGTCGTGTACACAGACATGCGATAAAACAAGATTTTCACACGAAGGAAACTCTTTAAAGGCGAGGGGTGGATAGATCAAACCTGATTTGATTGTAGGTAACACACTTCCTACGACTCTTCTCACTCCTAGGTGCATGAGTGTTACTGTGCATATTATTTTATTTTTTGTGATAGTGGTAGAAAATATGCAACTGAATACAGATGAACAAAATATATTTAAAACATAAAAGAGTTAAAAAGGGTTATAAAGATTACAACAAAAACAAAAAGGACTCCAAATGTCTGGTTATACTTTAATATGATCATACAGAGAAAGAGATCAACCAAAAAATGATATATGAACAACAACAAAAAAAAAAGGAAAAAAAAAAAAAGTAACAAAAAAGTCCAATAAAAACAGACAGAAAAGCACTGTTTTGAAACATTTCACTGTATATCAGTCTGTAGCAAATAGTCATTACATACCCTCGAAAAGGGAGGAAGAAAGCTTTGAATGGTGCACTGACCACTGAATAACTTGGCTGGAGAGTGAAGTGGGGG